ACCCATAGAACCTGACTCGTAAAACCTGAACCCTCAGGACCTGACCCACAGAATCTCACCCTACAGGATATGACCCATAGCACCACACCCACAGGATCTGAACCACAGCACCTGACCCATAGAACCTGACCCCAGTGTCTGACCCATTGAACCTCACTCCACGGCACTGGACCCATGGAACCTGACCCTCGGAATGTGTGTGGGGCTGAGCTCCCCATGGGGTTCTGTCAGCCCCATGACACTGTGTGGGGACACGTTGGGTCCACGGCTGCCTCTGAAGCAGCAGCCTCCCAAATTGTGTTTCTTATTTTAACAGAAATACTGCTTTTTTGGACTTACTTTGAGGCCTCTCTTGAAGGCTAGGCCGTCTCAGGTATTTTGGGGCCACCACCCCTCCAACGCCGTCGCCATGGCCGAGGGCTGCCACGTGGTGGCAAACGTCCCCTTCGGCTGCGATGGATTTCAGTCCTTCGCCCCTCCCATAATTATGTCCCTCTCCTCTCCCCGTAGCGCAGTCAGCCCGCACCGTCACGTGACGCGCGCTGGGGGGCGCCGCGATGCACTCTGGGAGTTGTAGTCCGAAGAGCGGGGGGCGCTGCGGCCGCGCTGCGGTTTGGGACTCTCTTTCCCATCGAACCCCGCGGCGCCGCGGAGGGAGCGGGGGAGCGGCGCTGAGCGGAGCGGCGGTGCGTGCGGGGCTCCGGTGATCCGTTCGGGGCCGTGGGACCCTGAGAGAACAGCGGGGTGCTGGGGGGGGGGAGGGTCCTTGCAGGTCAATGCTGAAGTGTTTGGGGTGGGAGGGTCCTTAGAGGCCAACTGTGGAAAGGTTGGGGTGGGAGGATCCTTACAGATCGATGGTGGAGAGGTTGGGTGGGAGGGTCCTTGCAGGTCAATGCTGAAGTGCTTGGGGGGGGGAGGGTCCTTAGAGGTCAGCTATGGAGTGGTTGGGTGAGGGGATCCTCGCAAGTCATTCTCAGAGCCATCAGACCTCTGGAGCGGCTGGGGTTGATCCTGTCCCTGTTCACTGACAGCAGTGCAAGGATTCCCCATCGGTGTGCAGGAGGAGCACGCTGTGCTGCCGTGCCCTCCCAGGGCTCACCTGGGTTCACCCAGTCCATAGGAAATGCATTGCAGCCGTAGTTGCAATGTATATGTATATGCAACGTACCCCGACCCACCCACAAACACACACAAACACACACAAACACACACAAACACACACACACACCTTTGGAGCAGTGCTTTGCTCTGCAATTAACTCTGCCTGCTCTGTCCCAGCAGCTGGGAATCCTCTGCAGGGAGCCAGGTACCATCCCAGCCCCAATGAGGCACTGAGACGGTGAGTGGGTGCTTTGCTGGGGGGGGAGGGGATGCTGTAGGGGGCACTGGGGGCGCTCCTGCAGGTTGCAGCACTCTGGGCTGTGCTGGCAGCGTGCTGCTGCCCACATGTGCTGCCTCAACCCTTCTTTGCTTCTGCTTCTCAGTAGATCTGCTGCTGTCTGGCTGCTGTGGCCCAGCAACGCCCTGAACCACCATGGCAGGTAAGGAGCCCTCGATGCACAGCAGAACGCTTCCAGATCCCATTTCTCAGCACTCTGCTGTAGCTGGAACCCGTCGCTGCAATACTTCATAGTGACCCCCAAAGCTCTGCAGCTCCTTCCTCTCCTTTCCCCCACTGCTGTGTTCCCCATGCAGCGTCCTGAGGTCGCAGCTGTGGTGATAAAGGCTTTGATTCCCCTCACAGCATCCTGCCTGCGCTCTCCCTCTTAATGCAGCTTAATTGCAGCGAGGTGACTCACGCCAGCTTTAAAAGCTCACAGATGCAGTGCAGCTCTGGGCACTCCCCATACAGTTACACACGGCTCCTGCAGCGTCTGCTCACACAGACAGCAGCTGGGGAAGGGAGCTCTCGCACTGACAGCCCCTGCTCAGACATTTCCTCTTCTGTGCCATTTGGAGCTTTTCCCAGCACATTCCTCATCTCTCCCCCTGCTTGGCTCTAATGCTGTTTACTGGGGCGGAAGGAGATGAGATGCAATTAGTCGCCCTGGCCTGCAATCAAACTTTAATCAGCAGTGCTCCCCAAGGTGCAGGGGCTGCATGCAGGCACACACCGGCAGCCCTGCCTGCAAGCTGACAGCAGCTTTCATACAGGGCTTGGGGTGTTTAATTAGTTGATATTGAAATGTAATTTGTCCCCAAGATGAGTTTTTCTGTGTCGCTTCCCGTCAGCGTGTGCTGATTTGTGGTGTCTGAGTGCAAAGCTTTTGCTTTCTGTTCGCTGGCGGGGCTTTGTGTTGCCTAAAGACCCATTTTGGAAAGAAAAGGGGTACGTCCCTGAATGCCTTAACAACAGAATCCTCCCCCACACCACGCCTGCACTGAGCTGGTGCCATCTGAGTACCAAATCCCTGTGAGAGAGATGCCTTCCAAGGGCAAACTCCTTTGGGGCTCCCTTCTTTCATTGGGAACCCCTCCTTTGGGGCTCCCTTCTTTGGGGTTCCCTCTTTGAGATTCCCTCTTTGGGACCCCCCTCTTTCAGACCCCCTCCTTTGGGACTCCCTTTTTGGGACCTCCTCCTTTGGGATCTTTGGGGTTCCTCCTTTGGGACACTCATTTTGAGGAGTTGTTTTGTTGGGTTTTTTTTAATTATCCTTGTCCAGAGAGTGGGATGCACGCTGGGAAGGTGCAGAGGATGCCCCACTTACAAGAACATCTCAGCATTCAGCTCATCTGCTGTGTTCTGTGTTGTAGAAAAGGTGAATAACTTCCCACCGCTCCCCAAATTCATCCCCCTGAAGCCCTGCTTCTACCAGAACTTTGGGGATGAGATACCCATCGATTACCAGTCCCTGGTGAAGAGGATCTACCACGTCTGGATCTGTACGTTGGATAAGGAAGCTGCCCAGGTTGTGGGTGTGTGGTTGAGTTGGAAGGGGCCCTGAATACCATCCAGTCCCACTCCTGCGCCGAGCAGTGACAAAGTCCCTTCAACCCCAACCATTTCTGTGGTCTCATGGCTCTAAGGATGACCTGTAAGGACTCTTCCACCCCCATCGTTCCATGGTTGGCCTCTAAGGACCCTTGGAACCCAGCAACTCCACTTTTGACCTCTATGGACCCTCCCACCTCAACCTTTCCACAGTTGACCTGTAGGACCCCCTCATTCCAACCACTCCATGGTTGACCTGTCAGGACCCTTCGCATCCCAACCACTCAGTGGTTCAATGGACGATCATTGAGGTCACCGAATCTCAGGATGGGCTGAGTTGGAATGGAGCTCTAAGGGTTGTCTGGTTGTCCTCCTGCTCTGAGCAGCGACCCCCACAGCTCCACTGGATGCTCAGAGCCCCATCCCCTGACCTCAGGTGTCTCCAGGAATGGAGACTCATATTAACTGACATTTTTCCTGTAACCCTTGCACATGAATCCCTAATGAGGGCTCATTTAAAGGAAATCTTTCTTGCTGGAGAAATTACTGACACCTCCCATGTGTGCATGAGCAGAGTAGTAATGGAAATTAAAAATAGTAGCTGTGAGGAAGACATTCTGGGGTGCTGAGTGCAGAATGGACATGCTCAGCTATGGAGCACAGCACTGGTGCCCTCTGGGGTCTGCTGGCAGCTGTTTCTCTATCTGAGGGGCAGAACAGGGGGTGTGAAAGGGCCTGGATGTCTCTGTGTTTTCAGCCTGGTTGCAGTCTGCTGTTCCCTCACTCAAGGCAGCACTTAGGAGCCCTGGAACCACTCCCAGGCTTCCTCAGAGGCTGCAGGAAGCAGAGGGAGAGCCTGCAAGGTACTGTGCTGGTGTCTGACAGCTCCTGGGCAGCCCCAGAGAGCACAGGGCCCACAGCTCTCCTCTTTCATAAAGGCGTTTTGCTACCAACAGGGGTAGCACTGGGCTGAGCCTTGTGCTGTTCTCCATCCCTTGGCAGTCCCACAAGGGATCCTCAGCCCCCTGTTCAGTGCATCCCCTGCAGGTGGCTGTCCCCGTGCTGCTGCCCCACAGCTCACAGCAGAAAGCCGTTTCCCTTTGGGGTGGGTGCAAATTTCCCACTCAGCACAGACCATCCCTGCTTTATCCCAGGTGTCTGACTGTTCTGTGATGTGAAATGGCACCAGTTCATGCTCTTTCCTGTGCTCTCTTTGCAGTTTACTGCATCACGCTGGTCGTGAACATCATTGCTTGCCTGGCATGGTGGATTGGAGGTGGCTACGGAGTCAATTTTGGCTTGGCCATCCTCTGGCTGATCCTCTTCAGCCCCTGCAGCTACGTCTGCTGGTTCCGACCAGTGTACAAAGCCTTTCGGTACGTGGGAACCCAGGAAGGTTCACTTTCTTCTTCCTTTGGGAGAGAGATTAATCACAGGATGGCTCAGGTTGGAGGGGAACTTGGAGATCATCCCGTGACAGGACAAGGGGAGATGAGTTCAGGCTGAGAGAGGGGAAATTTAGGCTGGATAGAAGGAAGTTCTGTACAACAGGGGCAATGAGGCACAGTCTGCTCACAGGGGTGGATGCATATGAAAAATAAATATGAATGCAGAGGAGAGGCTCAGAGTGGAGGAGACACAGCTGGTGGCACCCTTTGGTCACCAGAAGACCTCACTCCAGCTCAGGTGTTTGAGCTCTGAGCCCTAACCTGAACCTAAACCCAAACCCTAAGCCACTCCAGCTTGAGGTTTGAGCTCTGAGCCGTCACCTGAACCTAAACATGAACCCTCATCCACTCCAGCTCTGGGGTTTGATCTCTGAGTCCTGACCCCTACCTGAACCCACTCCAGCTCAAGGTTTGAGCTCTGAGTCTGAACTCCATGTGCCCCTCACACCTCTCTTCCCTCGCAGGTCAGACAGCTCCTTTAATTTCATGACCTTCTTCTTCGTCTTCGGCATGCAGTTCATCCTCACCGTCCTGCAGGCAGTGGGTTTCTCCGGATGGGGAGCATGGTAAGGACAGCCTCCTCCCAGGGACCACTGCACAACCTGCAGGGGGACAGAAGGAGTGCTGGCAAGCCAGCTCCAGGGCCATGGGGAGATACAGAGCAGCACTGAGCTCTGCACTGCCCTCCTTGCTCTCTCAGCATCCAGGAGCTGTGAAGCTGCTCTAATGGCGTTCTCCTTTCCCTTCCCCGCAGCGGCTGGTTGGCAGCCATCACGTTCTTCAGCACCAACGTGGCAGCTGCTGTGTTCATGCTGTTCCCTGCCATCATGTTCACGACGTCGGCGGTGGCGATGCTGGTCTGCATTTTGAGGGTGAGAGCTTCAGTTTTGCCGTGCCGTGCGATGTCTGTGGGTGTGTGGCACGGCCAGTGCTCAGCGCAGCGTTCATGGATGTTCACTGGGGCCTTTTGCCCATCCTTTAGGTGCACAAAATCTACCGAGGGGCCGGCGGGAGCTTCCAGAAGGCTCAGGATGAGTGGCACAGCGGTGCGTGGAGGAACCCCCCCAGCAGAGAGGCCCAATACAACAACTTTGCAGGGAACAGCCTGCCCGAATACCCCACGGTGCCCAACTACCCCTCGGGAAACCAATGGCCTTAGGCAGCCCCCGGGCTGCGCGCTGCCTGGATTCTCTCCTTTGTTATTTTTCGCTCCTTTTATCGTTATCTGAAAAGATCATTTGCATTCCCCTCCATACGCTCCGCTCTTGGCGGGGTTTTGTTGTTGGGTTGTTGGTTTTTTTTTTGTCTCCTCGTTGCTGCAGAAGACGTGTGCTGCCTGCTATGGAACACCAGATCAGAACAGCAGAAGGTTTTTGCCCTGTGCTGCTCCAGCATTTGCCTCGTTGCAGACTGAGGAACCCACTGCTCACTGCTCTTTGCTCGAGGGCTCCTCGTGATCGTGGCTGAGCTCCCTGCAATGTGAGCGCTGCCAGCGTTGCTCTCCTGCTTCCCCACACACCTCCAAGCTGTCTGTCCTCGGAACCACAATCTGAGCAAGAGCACCAACCGGTGTTGGCTTTCCTGGATGAGTAATCTGGAATTTTTCCTTCCACGGGAAATGTAACACCTGATTTCTTCAGTACTGCTGATCTGAAGGTGTCTGTGCAATCTGCAGCTCTCTGGTGAAGATTCCTTCATAAGGCAGTGCTCACTGTGGGTGAGTGTTGCTCAGAAATGAAGAAGAGTCCCCATTTCCGTGGCTAGAACTGCTCTTAGGATAGAAGTCCTGCTTTCGCCATTTCCAAAAGCTTTAGCTGGATCTGTGTGCTGCAGAGGTGCAGATTCATCTCATTTTGTGTCATTTCAGTGCCATTTCATCTGGCACTGGGCTTTGAGCCTGGGGATGCTCGCCCTCTTACAGGCAGGCAGTGTGAGATCTCTGTGCCATCCCAGTCCCACACCAGAATTTCATGCTGACCCTACACGTGCCTGACTGACTGCCTTGTCCTGTGCTCTGGGCTCCAGCTGTGTTATCTCAGCACCGGGTCCCAGGGTGGTTTGGGAGCAGTTCCCAAAATGGATAGATTTAATTCTGCCTTCTGCCAATGTTAGTTAAAATCCAACACCATCGTGCAGTCAGCTGTCTGACTGACCAAGGGAAGCTCAGTAGCTGATGTCAGCAGTGCAGAGCTGGTTCCTCTGTATCCAGCAGCACTTCCAGGTACGAGCAGAGCTTCTTGCCTTTCCCCAGTGATCAGCAAAGAGGAGAAAGCTGTCGGGAGGGTTTGTACCCCTGAAAGCTAGCACTGATGTATCTCATTGCCCACCTTCATCTCATGCACGTCCAGCAGGACGGCCGGAGCCTGAGCCATCCCATTCCCTGTGTCCTACAGCGACCCGAGCAGCAAAGGCTCTGCTTTCCCCCTTCCCCCAGCACCCTGCTGGGAACTCTCTCTGTCTGGGAGGTCAGTTCCCAATGTTTCTGAAGGCAGTGAGCGTTAAGCATCTTCAGCTCTGTGAGGGCTGGTCCTGTGCAGGGCCGCATGAGCCAGGTCTGCAGGTTTGGCTCGGCCCCATGGCCTGCCCAGCTCCAGGGGATGCCATAGGTGCTGCAGCAGGAGTCACTCCACACTCACACGAAGTAACTGGAAAGCAATCCTGGCTCCTGGACAGGGAGGCTGCCCCGGCTAGGAGGAACTGATTTGCAAGTGATCTTTTGAAAACCGTTTCTACATGTGCCTTAACTAACAATGTTAGTTCATGAAGGAGAAATATCTGTTCCCCATCCCCCTCTGCAAAACTTCCCTTCGCTCCATTCACTTTTCCCATGTCATTCCATAAACACTCAGCAAAGTACAGCTTGGAGTCTGCACAACACCTTTGTTGTTAGGGCCAAAGCAACAGCAAACATCAGTGGGAGAGCAGAGCCTCCTCTGACCTTGGCTTACGAGCAGCACTGACCCCTGCTGCAGCACCAGCCCTCGGGGATGTTTCATGTGCTGAACACAAGGGTGTTTTCTTCTTGCAAGCGTGCAATGTGTTTGTAATTACAAATGCTTGAAGCCTTCATAATAGAATACGACGTTGCCAAGCTTTCAGGTGCCTTTGTCATGTGTCAAGTGTGATTTTAAGCATTCTATGTCGCTTGCCATCAGAGAGTGATAAAAGAACCGTGAGGAGAAGCATTGCCAAGAGACTCTACTTCTCTTTTCTCCTTTGGGGAATCTGGGGGTCTTTTGAAGCGCCCATCCCTGCATTTCCAACCTGCTCGATGCAGAGAAGGGGATACTTCAGAGCTTCAAACCAAACTGGTTGGAGGCAGACGCTAAGATCACAGCCGTCGTTACCAAAATGATTGCAAAGTCATGAGCAAACACTGCCTGAGATTTCTAAAGAGTTCAGCTAAGCTCCATGGATGGGAGCTGCCATCTCAAAACACGTTTTCCCCCCTTCCATCCTTTTCAATGCCAGAAACCCGAATTCCAGCAAGTCGACTCAGTGCTGCCTGAACTGCCATGGCTGAATTCTTCGGGCTCCTCTATGGTTTTTAATGTTTACATTCGGTCTCTTCACACCATTAACCCGGACCCGGCTCCTGGTTTTGCTCATGTCTGTGTGTGATGTTTTGTGTCACTTGCAGGGCTCTGCTTTCTGTTTGTGTTTTGATCACAAGACAATAAAAGCTCATCCTGTGCTCTTCTCGAACTGGCTGTGTCAGAGCTCTGTCTGTTCCCACGGAACCTCAGCTGTGGCAGAGGGAAATGGCAAAATGGAGATTTTCTTTCCAAAGTCTCCCACCAATTTTATTTTTTCTTCTCCTTAAAAGAGCCACATGTTTATGGACAAAGCTCATCCCCTTGCTGGGGACCAGTGGGGCAGTTGGCTGGCAAGTATTCTATAACAACGTTACCACTGTCCTCATTATCCAGCTTAGGAGAGGTGCAGGTGATAAATGGGGTCAAGCCTTCCTTCCTAGCCCTTCCTGAGCAGCACAGTCCATTGTGAGGCTCCTGCCTTGTCTGCTTTGCTGCCTGAAAGGATATTGCCATCTCTGGGGCAAACTGACATGAAGGTGAGTTGCATCCCTTTCCTTAAGCATGCAACTGGATCTGTTGCCCCAAATTGCTTTGTGTTCCAGCTCTGCTCACAGGAGCTGAAAGAGCTGTTTTCATTGCAGCCACTCAATCCAACATCTGCTGCTCTCAATCACTTCCTCCTCTCAAAGCCCTCTATCCTACCTGTAGCCATTAGCATCTTGTCTCTATGCACAGGATGTTGCATCGTCCTCACATCTGCAAAAATCTCATGGCAGCATTTCTTCCAGAGTGGGTCAAGCAAGCAGATGGACTGACTCCAAGCATTGTCCCCTTTCTCCCTCAGGTCAATGGGAACACAATGTTCCCTATAGGGAGCTGCAAGCAGCATGGAGCCTATCCCCTATAGCACAGCTCTTGTCCTACAGCAGGGCCCGCCCCTACAGCACAGCTCTCGCCCCATAGCAGGGCCTATTCCCTATACCACAGCTCTAGTCCTATGGCAGGGCCTGCCCCTATAGCACAGCTCTTGCCCTACAGCAGGGCCTGTCCCGCACTGGGGCTATATGCAGCACAAGGCCCGTCCCCCAGCAGAAGCTGCAGGAAGTGCGGTCCCACCCCCCGCAGCACGGGCTGTCCCCTGTCCTTTATAAAGGGCCGCAGGCAGCACACAGCCCGTGCCAGATAGCGGAGCCGCGCACCGCACCGAGCGCCCCGGTAAACAAGGAGTTAAGTCCCGCCCATAGCCGCCGAGCGCGGCGATGCCGTAAAGCGCGCCTCGTTGTCGTAAAGCCTCCCGCCCGCCGTTCGCCTCCAGCCTCCTATTCTCGACCGCGCTTTACGCCAACGCCGTTGCGCCACCATCCTTCCATCGGCTGCGCTTGCGCCGCGCACCGCTCCGGAGTTGGTATTCAGGAAGGGCTCTTGCGCCAGCGGCGTGGTGGGGGGCGCATGGGCGAGCGCAGAGCTTACGCCGGCGGCGTAACGGTGTCGTTGGCTGGAGTGGTGAGGGGAGGCGAGAGGCGGCGTGAGGAGAGCCGGGCCGGGGGCGCCGCCATGGGCAGGCCGCGGGGCAGCGGCTGCGGGGCCCGGCGCTGAGGGACCGCCGAGGTAACGGCTACCGGGACCGCCCTGCCGCCGCGCTTCGCCCCGACCGGGACCGGGCAGCGTTGGGGCGGGGGAGGCCGGGCCGGGCGGTGCCGGCGGCAGGGAGCGGGAGCGGGGCGGTGCGGGGGCCGGTGGGGGTGATGGGGCTGCGGGGCCTTCGTGGGGCCTGGGAGCCCGAGCCGAGGCGCCGAGCGGGGCTCTGAGGGCCGGGCTGCGCTCCCCCCGCCCGCTGTGGCGAGGCCTGTAGGACGTGGGCCCTTTGTATGGGGCTTCGCTTTCCCCTCAGGGCTCTGGAAGCGTTGGTTTGGGGCTGGGAGGCTGTGCTGGGCACGGTGTTTTAAAAAAAAAAAAAAAAAAAAAGCTTTTTTTTTTTTTTCTTCAGCCGAGCTGCTGAGGATGGATGTGACGAACGGGGGGTGGGGGGAAAAATAAAGCGGCCTCCCCTTCCTCCTGCCCCGCCAGCACGGGGAGAACTGCCTTCCTATGGGGAGAGCTCTGCGGATGGGGAGAGCTCTGCGGGCAGCAGCCCCCCCCACCTCAACAACCACCCCGTGCTGCTGTCTGCGGGTGCAGAGAGAGCAGCAGAGCTCTCAGCCCGAGGGGGGAACGCTGGGCTTCTGTGGGGGAGCTGGGCGTGGAGGAACGGCGTGTGGTCCGGGCAGCCACCAGCCATATTGTGTGTGTGTGTGTGTGGCTCTGAAGTGAAACGGTGAAGTTGGTGAAACCAACCTGAGCTGGAGGTCAGCCATTGCCCGGTCCTGTCCTGTGTGAAACGGCTGCTGGTGTGGGAACGAGGCACGCCGCTGCGTTGGGAAGTTGCCTCGTTAAACTGCTTTACCTTCTGCACAACAAGTGGTTGGATATCCGGAAATAAATCCCGAGGAGTGAGTGAGTTCACGGGGCAGCAGGGCTGTCCTGTGGGTGTGCAGCCCTCTGCCCCCACCCCGAGCTGCCACGGCCGAGCTCGGAGCGCTGGCCCTTATGTAACAGATGGGAGCGAGCGTTTGGTGTTTGCCAGTGAAAGAGAATCGCTGTGAATTAGGGCAGGAGGCCTCCGTGGGGATGGCGGGGAGAGGCCTTCGCTGTGTTGGGGTGGGTTTGGCAGCTGGGGCTTGCCAGAGATTTGTTGGGTTTTGCTGTAATTTGGTGGGCTGTGGGTAGGAGCGTTGGTCAGGGCTGGTTTTAGTGCTGCTGTGGAGCCTCTGGGAGGGTTGGAGGGTCACAGTGACGATTGAACCCAACCGTGCTGCTGGGTTGGTGGCAGCTTCTTGCTGGTGTGCACCTGGGGGAGCCCCGAGTTCCCCAGGGGTTGTTGGGATCATCCTGCTGTTGCAGGGTGCTGCCCTGCCACAGCCTTGGGATTGCAGCTCCTGGTCGCCAGCCTTCAAACCTGTAAGGCCTTATAAGCGGGTACAAATGGGTTCTGTAGTCCTCTGCAAATACAGCTGCTGCTCTGCTCTATGCCTGCACCAAACCAAACGGGGTGCAGTTGGCGTTGGTTTGCAGGGGAGGATGTTTGTGTGTCCGGCAGCATCTCAGGAAGCACTGAATGGAGCTCTGTGTGGCTGCAGCGTGGCTCGTGTTTGGTTTTCTTGTTGCTGCACTCTTCAGATGAGTGAGTGGAGAGGAGGAAGTTGGCAGTCGCAGTTCAGCAGGTTTCCGAATTGTGCTCTGAGTGCTTCCCTGCGCCGGTGCAGCGCCAGGCTTTGCGTCTCCTCTTGCTTTGTATTCTGCTTCTGAGCTCCTGTGCAGCCCGAGTGTTGTCAAAACTGCTAATCTGAGAGTGACTCAGCGGATCAATGGGAACTGCACGAGGCTGGTGCTGGTGGACAATCAGTATTTCCCCCCACCCCCTCTGGGCTGGAGGAGATGATGTCTGAGAGCAGCATGCCAGTAAACACGTTTCCTGGGCTCGGGCTGTCTGTACCCTCCCCTTCCCCTGGTGCTTTCCTGAGCTGCTGTGGTGAGGAGAAGTGCTGTGCTGGGAGCAGCAGTGCTGTTCTGTGGCTGCTCCATCCCGTGTGTGTGTGTGTGTGTGTGTGTGTGTGTGCAGCCTGTGCTCTGGCAGCAGCAGAGCTGCTGACAGCCCCAGCCTTTGTGTGGCCAGGAGGCTGAGTACCTGCATGGCTGGGTTTTGGAGACCAAAGCCTCAGGATGATGGCACTTTGTGCTGCCAAACCCTCAGCCCATTGCCCTGCTGGTGGAGGGGGGAAGGGGGGGAAGGGGGAGGGAGACTGAGCTTGCTACAGGCATCCCTTGTGTGCGTGGAGCAGCACCTTGTGCGCTTATAAATTGTGGGATTTCTAATTTATCTGTTTTTTTTTTTTTAATTAGAATGGATCCTTCCTGCTGGCAGTCAGTGCCTCCTGGAGGGCTGTGGCAGTGCAGCAGGCAGAGGGCTAAGCGGTGAGGGAGGCAGAGAGGTGACTTCTGGAGCAGCTGCACGCTGAGCATTGGGGCTTTTGTGGGCTCCCATCGCCATGCTGGCTGCCCTCCATCTCCTAGGGATCCCCTGAAATCCTGCTCCAGCTTTGGTGCTTCCTGCTGCACAAAACTGGGTTAAAACAAAGTATCACAGCACGCACCTCTGGCAGAGGCACTCAGGATCCCTTTGCCGTGCTGCTGGGTGCCCCTTTGGGGTACAAACCTGGCTCAGCCCTCCCATGCCTTATGGTTGGCCCAATGTGTTCAGAACCATCAGTTTTCTCCCCAAACCTCTCACGGGTTCTGACAGCACCGTCCTGCTGTGGGGCAAAGGGGCGAAGCAGTGAATGGGAAACCACAGGGCTGGCTGCTTCCTGCGCTGCGGTGCTGCAGCCGCTCAGGGAGCTCAGTGAGGGTCAGTGCTCTCATGCTCTGTGATTTAAGGAATGCTGCTCCGTCCAGGTAAGCATCAGCCTGCAGGCAGAGCTTCACGTGGGTGGGTCGAGAGGTGCGTGACCCACAGCCGTAAGGGTTTGTTCCCAGGGTGAGCACTGAGCAGAGAGTGTCCTGTGGCCCTTGGTTGTTTAATGTGATGTAATATTTTTTAATGAAGGAGGCCTGGCTTTTGCTTTCCAAATGGCAGACGAGATGCTTGGCAGGTGATGCGCAGGCTTTGCCTTCCTGGGAGGGTTGTTCTTAAGTTAATTAACAGGGGCTAACGTTGGTCTTGAATTCTGTGAAGCTTTCCTTGGCAGGAGCGTGGCTCTGTGCTGCTCTGTTCTTGCAGACCTCATCAGTGCCTGATGTCCTCTGCTAGGAAGTAACTGCTTTTTGCTGTTGGGTCTGTGCTGATTGACAACATGAGACCCTTTTTCTTCTCCATTTTTGACACAAGCTGTTGGTGGTGATGAAGTTGGGTTCTCTCCCTGCCTGAATTCCCAGCTCCAAGTGGGGAAGGAGTGGGGCTTTCCAGCCCGTTCTGTGCTCTCCTGGATTACCCCACCCCCAGCTGTGTTGGTTCCCCTTATCCCAATGGTTTTGCTCACAGCCTCCATCTGTGCTCCCCAGCACAGACACCACAAAGGATGCTGCTTGGAGCAGTGCTGAAGGCTGAGCTGCAGCCTGGGGGGGCACCTGCTGTTCCCCTCAAGTCTGCTCTGACATCTCTGAGTATCCAAGTGCAGGTCTTGAAATAACCAGAGGATGCAGTGCAGCGGGGTGACAGCAGACACCTGGAGCAGGGGACAGATCCCAGATGCTGGCAGCTCCTGGGACAGGAGTGCAGCTCCGAGTGCTTTGCTCCTATTTCTGCTCAGAGCCAGAAATCAAAGTCCAGAGCAATGTTTCTCCAGCCTGAAATCGTTCAAAGGCACTTGCTGGTGTTTTAGGGCCAATATTTAACTTGTTCCTTCAATGAGGAATGCCTGCTGGACTCCAAATATTTGCCTTAAGGAAGAAGTTTGAGAGAAGAACATCCACGAAGGGGGGAGGGAGCAGAGGGATTGCAGGAAACGCTTTGGTCTCTGTGCATACAGGTCTACAAGGGCCCCATGTTGCCCCGTGGGCCCGAGCAGCAGCGCAGGGAGGAAACGTCTGTGCAGCTGGGTGTGTGTCTGTCTGTCCCACTGCCAGGGCTGAAGGCTCAGGTTTGGAGCCGGGCTGGAGCGTGCGTCGACTTCCTGGTGAAAAAATCCCATCGGAAAAGAAACGCTGGGCTGCTTTTGCTTTTGCTTCGGCCTTTGGTGGCTGTGAAATGAGCCGCAGCAGCCCTGCAAACAGCAGTTTTCCCGTGCCCTGGACCTGCTCATGGCTTCTCCTCGCTCGCCTCGCTGCGATCCTTCTCGATTTGTGCCATTGCCTGGCCCACGGGGAGCCCCGCCAGAGGTGGGTTGGTGAGGACGTGCTGCCAGGGGGAACCCGCTGCACTTTGCCCAGCTCCGATTGTGCAGCCAGGCTGAGTTCCCAGTCCCAGCTCTGGCGCTGAAATCTGCTCTGCCTCAGTTGCACACCGAGGCTCTGCTGTGTGCGCTCTGCGCTCTCGTTGGGTTCTTGACTATTTAACTGAGTTGTGCTTAGGTAAAAAATAGCCTGGATGCTCCTCAGCCTGGCTGGGGTGGCTGTGAGTGCGATGGGGAAGTGAAGGCTTCTGTCAGAGCCCCGTCCAGCACAGGGGAGCCGGGCGCAGGGGGCTGTTAAGGAAGATGGACGTTGGCTCATTCCCTTTTGCAGACGCCTGGCACTGACTGTGGAGGTACCTGAGCTGAGTCTGTGCAGTCTGAGCACAGCCTGCAGCCCGTCCATAGCCGTGAAGGGCTCTGGGAGGGGGTTCATGCCACCTCTGAGGCTGCAGTGGGCACCCAGCAGCACTGTAACAAAGGCAGCGATGGGGTTAGGCCCATGGATGGGCTGTGCGATGAGTGAGGAAGCCAGTGGTGTGCTGCTGCAGGGCTAGGAGAAGTGGCAGGAACTAGAAGCAAAAGGTTTGGGTTTCACATAGAAGTGTGTGCTAAGGAAGGGTGAGCGTGTGTTGGCTGGGCTTTCTGGGACAGCTCACAGAAGTGAGAGCCCAGAAATGAGGG